TATATATATACTTATACTCATATATATACCTATATATATACTTATATACTTATTGTAGATATTCAGTATGCATAGATAATAGACCAATCATGTTACAGTTTTATAAGTATTTCTCATTTGCTCTCTGTCGCCTTTATTTATTTTTGATATTTTTGATAAGACAGCCTATATTATATTGATTCATGATGTTTTCCATTATTCTCGCTGATGAAGGCCACAGGAGTGGCAGAAATAATAAATCAGTGTTCTTAAAGTCTACTACTGAAGTTTGTTCATGTTTTTCTACTTATATACTATATATATATATATATATATATATATATTCTACTTATATACAGATATATATATATATATATACTTATATATGTATACTTATATATATATTACATATATACTTATATATATACTTTTATATATCATAATATTATTTACATTATATAATACGCTATATTAATTTATATTTTTAAGACAAAATGAACTTCTTACCCTTTGGGCCCCGTGGACCCGGAGTCCCAGTAGCACCCCGAGGTCCTGGTGGACCTCTGGCTCCCTTGGCACCAGTGGTTCCGGTAGCTCCTCGAATTCCTTGTGATCCTTTAGCTCCTTTATTATATAATTATATATAGCTCATTAATGATATAATATAATATATATATATATAATTATATATATATAATATACACATATTATATATAATTATATTATATATAGTTATATTATTATGTACCGGTATATAAGTATTTATTATATATATAATTACATTATAGTACGCTATATTAATTTACACCTCAAACACAAAATGAACTTCTTACCCTTCGGGCCCTGTGGACCTTGGGTCCCAGTAGCACCCCGAGGTCCTGGTGGACCTCTGGCTCCCTTGGCACCAGTGGTTCCGGTAGCTCCTCGAATTCCTTGTGATCCCTTAGCCCCTTTAACACCTGTGGAGCCAGTAGCACCCCGAGCCCCTTGTGAACCTTTGGCTCCTTTAACACCAGTCGCTCCTGTTGCACCCCGAATACCTTGTGATCCCTTGGCTCCTTTAGCTCCTGTGGCGCCAGTTGCACCCCGAACCCCTTGAGACCCCTTAGCTCCTTTAGTGCCAATGGCTCCTGTTGCACCCCGAATTCCTTGTGATCCCTTGGCTCCTTTAACACCAGCGGGTCCATTAACTCCCCGAATTCCTTGAGAACCCTTGTCTCCTTTAGCACCAGTGGTGCCTGTAGCACCCCGAATCCCTTGTGATCCTTTGGCTCCTTTGGCACCTGTGGCGCCAGCAGCACCCCGAGCCCCAACTGAACCCTTGGTTCCTTTGGCACCAGTGGCTCCTGCAGCACCCCGAATTCCTTGTGACCCTTTGGCTCCTTTAGCACCATTGGTTCCAGAAGGACCCCGAATGCCTTGTGAACCCTTAGCCCCCTTGACACCAGTGGCTCCGGTAGCACCTGGAGATCCTGATGACCCTTTGTTTCCCTTAGCGCCAATGGC